CGGGGGCTGATACGTCACTAACGGAGTATCGAGGCCTCGGGTATAAATGGTCGAGGGTCGATACGAGGAGTCCTTTGGAGGAAAGACTATTGGGGCCTTGGGTACAAATGGTCAAGGGCCAATAGATGGTGAAGTCATCGAGGCCTCGGGTATAAATGGTCGAGGGCCGATGCAGCAGGGTCGAGGCTCTGGGTATAAATGGTCAGGGGCCGACTCTACTCGAAGGAGATAGCTGTGGAAGGGTAGGATAACCGTGATAAGAATAGAGGTACTGGTAATGTTAGGGAGACTGGAGGTTGGTTGTTAACATGTTTCCTGGTTGTGGTTCTCACTAATATGTTACGAAATGTGTATATGTTTTAAATGCATAATGTATTGAAAAGCATGATTACGAATGTTTCTTGATATAGTTGAGCATGACGTGTGTGTGTGTTGGTGAGGGCTACTTACGGAGTATATTTTATGTACTCACCCCCCTCTCTACAATGATTGTTTCAGGTGAAGGACTCGTGGGTGACCATGGTGATGGGACGGAGGAGACATGACGAGCGAGGACTATAGGCTGCTTAGTTACTCCTGTTTAGTTTAAGTCATTGGTTAAGGCCTTATGTTATGGCCAATAAACGGTTTATTCGTATTTGAATAATTGAGAGATTTTTCCCTTATTGTTAGTTTCACTTCGGGATAGGTGCCTATTTGAGTTTTATTCCATTTATTTAGATTCATATAGATTGAATAATAAACTTGCCTCGTGAAGTGGTTCACGAATGTTGTTGAATGTTATTCAATGAGATTGATTTATCGTTAAATTGATGAGGATTGGAACTTGATTTTATATGTTTGTTTGCATAGGAAGTTGGCAGGATGTAGTCGGGGTTAAGTTTAATTAGTTGGGTAGTTAATGTGACCTAGAGGTGTGCGGAAAATTCTGGGTCGTTATACCTAAGAATTTTCCTAACATTTTCAGATGTTGTATACTCTTTACGAAGACCCTTCAAGGCATTTATAATGTTAGTAAATCGAGTAAACATATCGGTAATTGACTCATTAGCATCCATCTTAAATAATTCATAATTATGAACAAGCATGCTAATTTGAGACTCTTTAACTTGGTTTGTTCCCTCATGAGTGACTTCAAGAATATTCCAAATTTCTTTAGCCGAAGTACACATAGATATTCTATTAAATTCATCCTTACATAAAGCACAATATAAACAATTCATAGCCTTAGCATTAAAAGAACACTTTTTCATTTCATTTTCATCATACTCATCTTGTAACTTAGGCACATCTTTACCATCTATTTTCTTCATGGGAATAAAAGGACCTTTAGCAACATTTAACCATAAATTCAAGTCAATAGATTGTAAATAGATTTTCATTCTAGCTTTCCAATATGCATAATTTAGCAACATTTGACCTTCAACAATTCCATTTTCCAAAAAGTTTGCCATAATGCTCTAACAATTAAGTTTTTCAAACTTTTCAAAAAAAATATTTTGAAAGATAATTTAAAAAATTTCTCAAATAATTTTCAAAATATTTTATGAGATAAAATTTTCAAATAAGAGAAATCTTGGTACAAAATCACTTGTTGGAGAGAAACTCAACCAAAATAGTTTTTGAAATATATTTTTGATTCGAAAAAGAGCAACCCGCTCTGATACCAAATGATGGATCGGTATGACAACACTAGAGGGGGGTGAATAGTGTTGAAGATCAATTTACTAAAAATTTTCGAATTTAAGCATAAATCAAATAACCAAGTAAATTTTTTAAACAAAAACAATTTATGCAATATTTAAAGCAACTCAAAATATCATGAAACAAATATTCAAAATAAGCACAATATATACTTGCAATAAAAGAAAATATACTTAAAAGATAAATTGCAATAAATAAAAAGTAGGGATAGAGAAAACGTCACGCAAGAGATTTATAGTGGTTCGGCAAACCCTCGGCCTACTCCACTCCCCGAGCACCTCTTGAGATTTTCCACTAAGCACGATCCTTTTACGGGTTCAAGATTGGAAACCCAGTCCTTTTGCGGGATCGAGACCAAACCTTACAAACCGCTCTTTTTACGGGATCTAGAACTAAACTCAATCTTTTTCTTGGGACAAAGATTAAAACCCACACTCCGTTCCTTTACCGGGCTCAAGAACGAAACCCAAATAAGTGTGGAAATAAGAATTTTTCACACACTAAAACTCTCAAATAGAGTAGATTTACAAATTTAAGCTCACAAATACATCAATCCTCACACAAGAAAATCTCTCACAAGAATAAAAATAGAAGTAGAATTGAGAGGTTGGAGAGAAGAACAATGGATTATAGAGGAAAATAAGAAAATTGGTATATATAAAATGGGAGAGAAGAGGGGTTTAAATAGGAGAGGAAAGTGAGTAAAGTTGATTTGAAACTAAAATCAATTTCGGCCATTTGATTTTAATGATGGAAGATGAAAGGTGGAGATTGAATTTTTAAAAGTAATGATTACATTATATTATAATATAATATATAATAATAATATAATATAATATATATATATATATGTAACGGTAACTATGATTTTTTTTTTCTTTTTTTTTCTTTTTCAAACGGTAACTTTTT